TATTAAAAATCAGGAAATTAATGAAAATAAAATTTTGAAACGTCAATATTTTCAGAAAAATAAACTCTACAAAATGGTTATCTTTAATTTTTTTGGAAATTATTAAATAAAAAAATATATTTTTTAACTTTTTTACTCAAACATCAAAATAAATTTTAAAATGAAATAATTGTAGTTTTTATCCCTGTGAATCTTATTATAAAACCAGAATTTTGTTATCTCCATTATTTCGTTAGATATCGCAATGGGTAGATCCTCGCGTGACACCTTGTATAATACCTTACTCGTACAAAATGGTGTTCAATTTGAATTCAGAAAAAATGGATTTCTGTTATTAGTTTTAATATTAAATTAAATTGACATTATCMAATAAAATATATCACCTATGTTCTGTATATTTTGGGTTCTTTTTTGCATTAATTTTAAAATGAGTTATTTRAGTTTTTTAATTTAATATTGTACGTATAAATTCTTATCCCATTGTTAGTAATATTATTTAATCCTTGAAACTTAGGAAAAGTTGTTATCGTTTTTTGAAATTTAGCCTGGTGTTAATCCTGGACAATGTTGGGCATTCATCGGYGCCAAGGGTTTTTTGATATTAAAGCTATCCAAAACTATACACGTAACTGGTTTCACCATAGAGCACTTGCCAAAATCACTTTCAAAAGATGGTCATATTAGATCTGCCCCAAAAGATTTTAGTGTTTGGGTAAGTATTTTAAACTTATTTAGTTTTTAATGCATTTTACATTACGATTGTTTTTTTTTTTGCCATAGGGATTAAAACATGAATCAGATTCGGATGGTAAACTACTGGGTAAATATCAGTTTAACGTCGATGGACCTAGCTTACAATATTTTTCTGTTAAGGTGAGCGATATATTTTACTAATTTTTTTTGTTAATAATAATGTATTTTGTTGCAGAGGACAGATAACATTTACTCTATTGTAGAATTAAGAATAGAATCAAACCATGGACATGATGAGTATACATGTCTATACCGTATCAGGGTTCACGGAGATCTGGCAATTGTTTAATGGTACTTAATTGATGTAGTTATAAAATTAATTTATAAGTACAAAGTTAATTAAYGTTTATTCTTAACTTAATTGGTTACCACTAGCCTTCAGTTAAAATGAAAACAAAAAAATAATATTATTATCACCAAAGAATGAAACTTAATTTTTAATTTATATTCACCCCACTCTAATTGAAAGCTTTTGTATTAAGCAAAATAATTTTTTTGAATTATTCACGCCTTTTTATTTACAATTAGAATAGTGATTTTTTTTTTCAATTTTATGATTTTCATGTTCATGATTACATATTTTAGAGCCATTCAATTTTATTTTTTTGCATGAATCAAATGTAAAATATTAAAATTAAAAATATGTTTTTTATGTTTAAATGTGTTTAATTTAAATCACTAATGTAATATTGTGTGTTATGAATATTATCATATTTTATTTTAAATTTTAAATTTTTTGTTAAATGTAAAAACAATATTGAATATTTTTATTGTATTAAAAAAAAAAATATATTGTATAATTGAATAGCACATTATAAAGTCAAGTTATAATAATTATAAGATTTGTAAAAAACATATTTTACTTTGTACTGTTTTAATCAATTAGCAATAATTGATACCTCACAATAACACAATAACTACATTAAAATTTATGTTATTCAAGAATTCATAACATTTGTTGAAGAAAAAAAAAAATTGTCTCAGTCAAATTCAATATGAAAAGCTATTATAATAATAAACTATAAACAATTTATGCTTAACGGCTAAGGAATAATTGGTTTTTTCTATTTATTGATAATATCATAATAGTATATTTATATTTTGTAGCTTAACAGTTCAAATGGTAAATTAGGAAAACTTTGAAATGATAAATTATATTTGAAACTCAAAATAGTTTGAAAATATTTTGCTCTTTAAACGTTACCAAAAATTATTATATAAACCATTAAACGGAGAAAAAACAGATGAAAAAGACATATTAGACCCTTGCAAATATTTTGAATTTTAAAACCTATATAAATGGTGAAAAATTTTCATATATTGAAAGGTTTACTATAGGCATCTATATCAGTGGAACCGTTTTTTTTTACCTGTGGACAACAGTATGAACTAGGACCGGATTGAAGCAACGAGCTTCTGAGAAAATCTCGGTGGGCCACTTAAAAAAAAAGGCCAATAACCTAACCAATAAATGTTTGTCCAATTATTTCATWCTACAAATTTAAGTATATTTATTTACCTCGGTGCACTACATAAAATCTAGGTTAATTTAGAAATGTTCATTTGAAAATGGGCCTGTAAAAAAACTAAAACTCGATGGGCCGATATTGTCTATCCGGCGCTGGTCTGAACCACCAAAATAGATGAAAATTAGCCCATGCTTCGTTCTGAGTTTAATGCAGTCAACCGAGGATTTTTTTTATGAGGTCTAAATGCTGAAGATATCAACACATTGTGGTGGTGTGAATTTCTTCCAGTTGTATTTTTACATCCACTACTATTTACTAACATAATGTTCCATGCAATGTAGAAAATAACAGGAGAGATTCAATAAACAGTGAAAGTTGGGGACCAATTGATGATATTTTTTGATTTGGAGAAACATAAACTTAAGCGGCTTACAAACATCTTTTTTTGAATGGAAAAATTGTTTGGTACTTTTTGTTACATCTGTCTTCTTATACGTCAGCCAATGTTTGACGCACTTGGTTTGAAAAAAAAAACAATATTCTGCACAAAGAAAGGTACATTACGATAAATAATAGTATAATCTTTTCAGATAATGCATCCATAAAATTCATTTATTTTAAATTTCAATCTATAATGAAAGAATTGAAAATGCCTTCACAAAAAAACAGTTGTTAATGCAATACATTTTCATTCTTAAATAATAATAATAAACCAATGCAAAAAATAATCATTATTTCTTGTTAGATGTTACACCTAATTAACTATTGTATACTTATTGTTCTAACTTTGACATTTTAAGTGATTTGTCTCAAAAATTAGCAAACACTGGCAGTGTTGTCATAACATATTAATAWGATTTATAATATTGATCGTTGTGTGAATTACGTAAAAAAATTGTAAAATTCAAAACACTTAGAAACAAAATTATATTTAAAATTAATACTCTAATCAGTCAAAATTAGAATAGTACAAAGTAAACTGAGGGAGGGCAGTTACTAGTGACTAATTTATTTCACTACTTTTCAGTAATTTTCTAAATTTACATTTTTTTTTTAATTTTGCATTTTGCATTTGTGTTAGAATAACTAAAAAAGAAAAACCATTAAGTTTATTGAAGGTGACTACAATAATTCGCTTTGAGCAAAAAAGAATATTTTTTATTTATATAGGAATATATAAACTAAATAAGAAAATAAGAAATAAATAAATCTATTTATTGTTGCTTTTCTTTACGGTTATTTTTCTTCGGTAAACTAGTAACAGGTTCTGGTGTTGATGTACCAATGTACAAATAATATACAACTGGTACAAACTAAAATTAAAATAATTGATAGTTTATTAGTATAGGTAARCAACAGGTTTATCATAATGCAATTTTTACCTGAATAAAAAAGTAGACTATTGACAAGTAAACAGCTATTGCTAGAGTAAGAATGAGATCAAACACTGCTGGTTTGACACTAAAAAAAAATACATAATACATTCAAAACAAAAATAACATGCATTTATCAGATACACTGTATACAGGGTGTCCCGTGAGGATTTACAATATTGCGATATCTCCCGAAATAGTGGTGATATTGAAATTCTGGTTTAGTAATAAGACTCACAGGGATAAGAACTACAATTATTTCATATTTTAATTTATTTCAATGTTTTGGTAAAAAAGTTAAAAAAAAAATATATTTTTTTAATTATTTAAAAAAATATTAAAGATAGCCATTTTGTAGTTTATTTTTCTGAAAATATTGACGTTTCAAAATTTTATTTTCATTAATTTCCTGATTTTTAATATTTTTTTAGTTTCAAGAAAAATTGCGAATTATTTAACACCGTAATGTTATCAAACATGTAACCCGTCGCGCCGCGCGCATTCCCATACAGTGGGCCGAATACTTTCTGTGTTCCTAATAGTTATAAATTTATAATCATATTTTATTTCTTCAAAACTAGAAAAAATATTAAAAATCAGKAWATTAATGAAAATAAAATTTTGAAACGTCAATATTTTCAGAAAAATAAACTCTACAAAATGGCTATCTTTAAYTTTTTTGGRAATAATTAAATAAAAAAATATATTTTTAAACTTTTTTACCCAAACATTAAAATAAATTTAAAAATGAATGTAGTTCTTATCCCTGTGAATCTTATTATAAAACCAGAATTTTGATATCTCCATTATTTCGTTAGATATCGCCATGGGTAAATCCTTGCGGGACACCCTGTATACTAATTATACTCGGTTCGGAAAGAGAACAACCCGATTTTGCGCATCCCTACTGGAGTACTAGACATCATGATACCTAGACCAGTTTCACTATGTCATGGGGACGCTGAAGAACCAATTTAATGGTGCCTTAGCTCGTTTTTACAGATCCGTATAGTTTGTTTAACAGTAGTAGTACAAGATATGATAAAATTAGTTTGTATAAATAGATTATAAATCATCATGAGGTATACCTTTTATAGTCTTTTACTAACCTGTAAACTTGTAAAATAGCCCTAGTAACTGTGTAAAATGAAAACTGTGGATCAACTTTTTCTGCAGTAAGATGAGACACATTAACATCCTTTAAATATTTACTCATCAATGAAAATAAATTATCGACTAATGGATGGTTTTTTTGAGCAATTATTTGTGAGGATCTAGGCTGTAAAACCAATAAATCCAATGAAGTACGTAATGACTCAAAATCGACATTCTGGAAAAAAAAAATTTAATTAATTTAGTTACATAATAACAATAGGATACAATATGTAGTATTACAATCAAGATTCATATTGAAAAATATACAATTAATGAAAGAATTAAACTTACAATTTTGGGAGTTTCAGATGTATTATAATCATATAGATGAGCAACTAACGTTTTAGCTATAATCTGAGCATTGCGATACACAATTTTTGAATCTAATGTTTCGCTTGTATCCAAAATTGACCTCCTCGAATTGTTTTTGTGACTCTGTTAACAAATAAATTGTGATTAAAATATTCCTAATATTAACTAAAACTCATGTATAATACTTTTAAACTAGCAAGAGTGAAAGCAGGCAACCTTCTTATACTATATCTTTCATGTTCCCAAGCTAGTGTATCACTGCCCAGATTTATTTTTTTATGAATGATTTTCAGTCCATTTTCTCCTAAATTATTATTAAGTTCCTAGAATAATAAAAAATAAATAATCAATATTAATAATATCAATATAATATAACAAAATAAAATAGATTACATTCATAAAATTTCCCATTTTGGTATCGTCTTTTGGTGGTTTTGAAACATGTGCATAAATATTCTTATCACTGCCCAACGAATCTAAACACAATACAAATGACACATCCTAAAACACATTTAATATTTAAACAAGTAATTTATATATTTTAAGAAAATATATTTATTAATTACTTGTAGTGTATTAGATTTTTCCATTTGTTGTTCAATCCAGTTTTTAGATCCTATGTAGTTGAGTTTACCACCACCACTTAAAATAAACATAATGTTATATTTGGGTCGATTTTTTTCTGCATAAACTCGACTAAGTATTTTTGCCAATAGTAAAAGTATAGCAGCTCCTGAACCATTGCTATCAGCACCGTATGATAACTCCTGTATTAAATCATTTATGAATACACTAAGATATTTTAATTTTATTATTACAAATGTATTCAATATTTAATATTGATTGCTTACTGGCGCCAAACCAAAACTGTCGTAATGAGCAACAACCAAAATACTGGGTAACTTATCTTGAAACCCATATCCAATCAATTGACCCTGATAAAATCAATACTTTTAAGTTTAACAAAAATGTTTATTTAAATCCAAATGTAGGTACACATAGAATAGTTTACCTGAATCGTTGATATAGCAATATTCTGTTGCAAGACTGGTTTATTTGCTGATACTACTATTTGATAACCGTTTGCAGAAACTGAATTAATGAAGGCTGATAAAAAAATATTAGTTTATTATTTGGAAATGATAATTTTAATATTTCATGATTGGTACCTTTAGCTGCAGAACTTGCATTTTCATCTATAATTTTACTATCGGCCAAATCATTCATTAAATCATCGACTTCAGTAGTCCAATTAATTATATATATTGGTATGGAAGTATCTGATAATAAAATGGTTTGTTCTATTTCTTGCATCGTCTAAAATAATTTTATGATTTAAGTGTAAATCTCCATTCTAAATACATCCAAACGGCTTGGAATAAAATTAAAAATACAAATAAATTTGGTAGCTCCGTCTTACAAGTGTATAACATATCAAATTTTATACCCATTAGATTACTTATAATTGCGTTAGTTTGAAAATAAGATTGAACTAACCTCTTGTACAATTTAAAGGTAAGATTATTATTTAGGATATGTAATATGCTTTTATTGTATTTTAATTTTAAAGTAAGTTATGAGTATTTTAAGATGTTCAAACAATTTACAATTTTAAAATACATTAATGTGATCTGCTGAGCATATAGTTTGTAATTTTAAGCACTTATAAGACGGAGACAAAAAATGTCAGTTTAACATCTCCTTAAGCCGGTCATCAAGCTAATGATGCTCAAAAATAGTCCTTGCTTTACCTAATAAGAAATAACAGAGATAACTTTAAGACAATATCTCACTTTCTGTTGCTCTTGAGTATATGGTGCAGGAGGGATAACCAGCACTAAGGCACCAGATCCGGATGCAATTTGTTCATATTCTTCTGTCGTGAAGTTGTCCATCAGTACAAACACGCAATGCCTCGATCGACTGCTCCAAGTTTTCAGGGATCTGGCTTCCAGGTTGATTATACTGCTCTTTGAACCTATTGAATGAGAAAACAAATGGAATCAGAATCGTCTAGACCGACTAACGAAATTCGCAGTCGAGGCTTTGGTGCTTAACCGTATGTGGCTCCTTGTAGACTGTACTGTTGGGCGCGGTATACTGTGAACTCGTGTGCTGCGTTCACGGGACACACCGGATTCATGACCAACAGCAACGGGATGGCGATCAACAGATACATCGGGAAGCCAGTTTTCAGTATTTCCGAAAACTCATCAGATTCCCCCAACATCGTTGTTCTAATAATATGATATTATGTTTAAAATACTTGTTAATCGGGTATTTCGGTGTTCGGCGAGGAGAAGCGACCAATAATACTCTCCAGGAAGTAGGCTTAACAATAGAAAAATAAGTTTTACTTAAACAATAATCAAAACGGAACTAGATTCGGTGCAACCGACGACGGTTACACTAATAAATTCGACACAACAAACTCGATTCGACGAGTCGTTGAATACGCCAGGGGGTCTATTCTCGAAAAGAACGACCAAACGTATACGTTACTACTCGTATACGAGCAGTTTGTTATCTTTGCTCGTCTACGTTCATTACACAGACTTATATACTATCTATATATTATAGAAGTCTGTAGTTCATTATCTCGTATTCTTGAACATCATACGAGTAACGTAAACGACCGATTCGTATACGAATAACTCGAATGTACGAATCATAGACCTATAAAAGAATGGACTGCGCATAGAGAGAGATCCGTGAATCAAAGATTTGTGCGAGAGAGATAGGGCTATGTTAGAAATACCAAAGACGATATAAGCAAAAATATATTAATTAGTCTTTGAAATATTTTATTTTCGTGCCATTACATAATATTATTATTATTGAACTATTGAAGTAGTTCTATTTCTGTATACCAG